TTCTAGTCTTACGGACTGCAAAAGTACTAACATCCTACCCTCAGCAACCCCGCCGCCTCCGCATCATCCGCCCTCTCATCCGCCGCCTCATCAATGGCATCCTCCATGTCATCCGAGGCCACGAAGACGGAGGCGAAGACCACCGCTACTGAAGCGAAGTCGACTGACGCGACATCAACAGGCGCGGCTGTTGCTATCGGTGCCGGTGAGGCCGGCGGTGTTGTAGTCGCTGCTTTGGGGATTGTTGCTTTGATGCTGTAGATCAGTCCAACTATGGGTGGAGAGGGTCCAGAGGGATGTGTGGTGTCAGATGGAGAGAGTAGCGTGAGTGTACAACAGCGGAAAGACAGAAGATGTGATGAGAAGTTTGAATTAAACAATCATTGATTCATAACCGATGTCTAACCATCGTGTGCAGATATCTTACAAAACCGTCCCTGTCCCTTGCATGTGCTATCCATGACTTCATCTCCTGCAGTCATGCCCTTGTCTGCCATTACTCCTCCTCACTTATACCCCTCCCCTCATCTATAGAATAGCAATCCTCCTAACCTGCATCACCTGCGCCCTAGGAACAGTCACCTTGAGCGCACCGTCCTTGAAGCTAGCGCTGACATTACCAACATCGATGCGTTCTGGGAACCTGAAGGTGCGCTCGAAAGATCCATGGACGCGTTCTTGTTGGGGCTGCTCTTGGGGTTGTTGCTGAGGTTGCTGGACCGGTACCTCGGGTTGTGGCTGGGTTACCACAGCGGTCTCGGTGTTCTTAGGCTCTTCGACTGCCTTCTCCTTGCCCTTGGGCTCGCGGGGCTCGGTGGGAGATGATGGGCGAGATGATGGGAAGTCAGCGGCGAGGTCTTCGAAGTCGTCTTCGACGGTGGGCTGGTATGACTTATGCGATGAGGTGTCGCTGTCGGGTGTAGCGGCGCGAGTGGTAGGAGCCTCGGTCTCAGTGGTAGTCTCGACTTCTGGCTCTGACTGTGCGGCGGCAGGCTGCTCAATGCTAGCGGCAGGTGTAGCCTGGGCTTCGATCTGAGGTAGCTGTGGCTGAGATTGCGACTTCTCCGACTGCCACTGGGTGTTACCAGCAATCTTCAGTGTGTGCTCATCGATGACCTCAATGTTGATGTTGTCCTGTTCGAAGCCCTGGATGTCTCCATCCACCTGCCATCCCTGCTCGATCTGGTTGACTTGGAAGTCGGCTCGAAGTGCGCGCTTGCGCTGCAGCTGTCGCTGGCGGTAAGCTTCGCGTAGTGCCTCTCGGTGGGCCTCGATCTGCGCTTTGCGCTGAGCCTCGCGTTGTGCCTCGCGGTCGATCTCGCTCAGGAGCTCATCGACCTGGCTGAAGAAGTTGTTGTAGGGCGAGTATTGTGGGCGGCGAGGCTGAGGACGAGAGACGCGATAGCCGTGGGCGGGTCGTGATACCGGGGCGCAGAAGCCGAAGGGGTTGCACTGCTGTGCCTCGTAGGCGGGTGCCATGCGTGGAGTGAGGATAAACGCCATTGCTGGGGTACTTGGTAGAAGCGAGGCTTGTTGGTCGATGAGGAGAACAGTGTAGAGTAGTGAAGCTCAAGAGTAGCTGTAGATCGTAGATCTGTAGATGTGTTTGTCTTTCGAATTGATGATGGGCTCTTGGAGAGCAGGGAGACATGGATTTATAGCCATTGTAGAGGCGTCGTGCAGGCAGCAGCAGATCGCGTGCGCGTTGATGAGCAATGCAGATTCCGTAAGACGAGGACGATACTGGAAGAGTGTAGACGATGCGCGACGATTGGTGATGCTTCGAGGTTTGTCAGGAAGACGCGTGAAGCTTCGCGATGTTTCTCGAAGCTTCTACGTCATCCGGCGGCTGAGATGGCTCGTGCTTCGCTTATGTAACCATACCCGCCCTCTCCAGCTTTACGCGTGCAGCATGCCTCTACGAGAACACCGATACAATGAACGAACGGTCGTGCAGATCTGAAGATGCGTCATAGAATAGCAACGGAATTGGGGTCAGTTGAGACCCTGCATAGAAGACTTTGTCGATGCTCTTCATGACAGGGCGAGGAGCTCACATTACCAGTCCATCACTCCGGTCTTCAAGATTGGTCAAAGCAGCTGTTCTTCAATGCTTCAATTATAGCTTATCCAAATCTGTTTCTATCGCACATTCATCAAGACATATCCTCCGCCCGTCTAAGCCTTATACCTAGCCGGCATAGCAGCCTTGAGCAGCTTCGGGAAGTTCGGTGTGCCAAGACCAGAAACCGGGTCCCATCCCGCAGTAGCGTTCCAGCTAGCATACGGAATAACCGGGCTGCCGTTGGGCTTGCCGTTGAAGCGGGCATGGCCATCGCATCCGGTGCTACCACCGAGAACGATATCGTTAAGCGCATCGGGGTTGGAGTACAGTAGGGGGTTCAAGAAACCAAGAGCGGGCTTCTTGGCTCGCAGGCGGGCGTCGTTGAGAAGAGCGACGATGCCACCGAATGCGGGGGCGGAGCAGGAAGTTCCTTGGTAGCCCTTGAGAGAACCCTTGTCGTAGACGCGGTAGCCAAAGCCCTGAGCGCTGACGTCGGGGAATCCACGTCCGTGGCGGTTGAAGTAGGGCTTGTTCTTCTGGCCGAGCTGGTGGAAGTATGCCTTCACAGCATCGTCCTGGTACGAGGGACGCTTCCAGTAGTCGGAGAAACCACCGGAGGAGAAGAAAGTAGCAGTCTCGTTGAGGTAGCGAGTGGAGCCGACAGAGGTGACGAAGGGGCAGGCAGCGGGGTATCTAGAGGGAAGTCAGTGTTTGTCTCACATACAGTCCTTACAGGCAATTACGTACTGAGGCTGGAACTTGGTCGTGTTCTTGCCATCGTTGGAAAGGCAGGCAGAGCCGGTACCAGAGTCGCCGGAGGAGAAGATGACAGAGACACCACGGCTACCGAGCTGGGCGAAGAGGTTGCAGACGCTGAGAGCGTACGACTTGGGCACACTCTGCTCGTTCTCGCCGTAGGAGGTAGAGATGACCTGGGGAAGGTCCTTCTGCTTGAGCTTGAGCACGCTCTGGAGGAACTCGAGGTAGGGCTCGTTGGCGCTGTCGGCCTCATCGGGCTGGTCGAGATCAGCGACCCAGGGGCCACGGCCGCCGGTGCTGTACTCGGTGACGGGCAGGGGCTGGGCAAGACCGAGCATGTACTGCAAGTCCAAGTTGGCCTCGCCACTGTCGTCGCTGGAGTTCTGGTCGTTCAGACCACCGTTGAACTGGACGACGGAGAAGTTCTGGCCAACAGCCTCGGGAAGAATGTTCTTCTCGAAGAGGGCGAGATCGCTGTAGCGAGCGTACTCCTCGAGGTAGGAAGCGAAAGCTGCCTTGCTGCCACTCTTGGGGTCGGGAGTGTAGTCGATCTTGTAGAGCTGCTTCAGGCACTGGGGAGTGATGGAAGCATCACAGTTGACAGTGATGTTGGGAGAAGAAGCGAGCTGGATACCGAAGATCTCACGCTCAGTCTCGTGGTTCGCGCGGATAGCAGCGAAGCGAGTGGTTGGCTGAACGAGGTTGATGTGGTCGGCAATCTCGTCAGGCACGGAGTACTCAAGGGTGCGGAGAACCTTGCGGGGTGTGCTCTCCTCGCTAACGAACCAAGAGAACTTCGTTCCGAGGAGCTCGTTGGCAACACCGACGGTGGTCCTGAAGGTCACCCAGTCGGCATCGGTCTCGAACTTCTCGATACCGGCAGACTTGAGCCACGAAGAGACGGACGAAACGGTCTCCTCGCTGGGCATAAGCATCCGCTTCATCTCCTCGTGCGACTCGTAGTGCTGGCCGTACTTGGGGTTTGAAGGTGTGGAGATGTCCATGACGGTCTGCTCAAAGCCTGCGGTATCGCCTTGCGTGAGCGCGATCTGGAGCTTGAGCGTGTGTGCATCAGATGCTGGGCCTTGAAGCTTCCATCCTGTTGATCATTAGCATAGCTCGTAGCTCGATCTAACATGTAGCTCACCCTCTGGAACCTCGAAGAGCTTCTCAAACGGCTCAGCGAAAGCCCTAACAGCCAACAGCGAGCCAACGATGAATGAAAGCACAGGAGCCATCTTTGCCACAACCGGTTTCCTTGAGCGAAGGTAGTCCGAAGCGAATGCGGATGAAGAGACAACGAACAGCGGACTGCATTGTAGTTTTATACCGCACCCACGGTCGACCTCAGTCCCTGCATGATAGTCACATCATTACCGACCTACCCCATGGAGTTTAGATTGCGATTGTCGCTCATGTCGTGGTGCGCATACGCGATGCGTTGAATGGAACCGACAGTGTCCAAGCAAGGGGCTAAGAAAGACAAGCCTCGGACTGGGGCTCTTGACAAGGCTTGTGTGCCGGATAACCTCCTTCTTGTTTTGGCCGTGGCGTTGCGATAACATGACCGATGACCCCACATGGGTGGTTGTGACAGGTTGTGACGTGTGGATCTTGTTCTGTGCGCGCTCGTTAGCACCGGGCTAGGGCCGCCCACTTCCAAGGTTGGGTTGGCGTTATAACCGGACCACTGCCTCGGCCACAGTTCATGCAAGGCACATACGAGCACCTTCCGGTAACAATGTAGTATTGGTCTCTAGAGCATGTCACCTGCATTCGAGATCTTCCTAGATCGTTTGGTAATTGCGAGCAATCTGGGTTTCTATGATCTTCGCCGCCACCTGCATCCTGGAAGGAACCGTAGCTGAGATCGTCGCAAATGAGAGAAGTCGCAAGTATAATATACAGAGATCGTCGCAAATATCGGGCGGATAAACACCAGACTAATCTTGCGAACGGCCCGCCTATGAGGACCGAACTCCCTGGGACATATATCAAGATATCAGTCGTTGCCTCTCATTGACTCCATCGTTACTTCCAGAGACTTGCCATTCTAAAACCTCCAGCACATTGTACCGATGTGTATGCAGCCGATAAGCCACATGTGTGAGGAATAGCTTTGTTCCCCAAGCTCCGCGAGACGCGTAGCATCCTCGTACTTGATTCTCAGTGTCCTCTACTCATAGCTCAGCTCGTTATTGTTCCAGCAGAGTTCGAAGCCGTTTGCGCGGTACCACTCGATACGAGTGGCTTCGAGTTCGAGTATAGCCTCCACTTGCTCCTGAGAGTAGTCAAGAAGGACCCTCTCGAGTGCTGCCACAGTGATCTCAAGGCAGGGATATCCGGTTGAACGTCTTTGCCCACCGATGGTACGCCTCAGTGTCTCTCGCAATCTATCTGGCAGATGTTCATTCGGCTTAGAGTTCATTGTCAGTTTATAATGCAGATATGACAGCTTCTTGTTGATAAGCTCATGTCGCCGATGTTCGATCTCATCTACCGCTAGTTAGAACACTACATGTGTTTCAGAGCAACATCGTTAACTTACCTGACAAAGATTGGGGTATGGGAAGTCCCAAGGTGCGTAGTTTGCTCTCGTTGCAGTAAAAGGTCATTATCTCAACAAGGAGAGCGACACAATCTTTGCTCCCGAAGAGATAGAAAACCCAAAGCAGCAGTATCGACTCGCGGCAGTATTCACCCTCCATTCTATCACCATAGATTTTGTTCATCCAGACCGATGTGAAGAATTCCACTGCACTAGCGCAGTTGTAATAGTCGATGAGGATTCCCAGCTTTGCCATTAGTTCGAGGCTCACAGTCTTCGGGATCTGAGGGCTGCGTAGGTGTAACATGTTAATGAAGAGGAGGAATGCTTCTTCCTCCCAATCGTCTGCTGTAATATGGTAGCGACCGTCGGTCTGCTTGCATCCCTCACTCCAGGTACCAGGTGAGAGCGCTGCTTTGAAGACCGGTGACGCCAGTTGAGATGGCGTGACGAGACAAGATAAAGGACAGATCCCTCAGGAACATTAAGGATTACCCAATCCGACTCCTTCGTGACGAATGCCCTCGCAGGCGACTGGTGAACTTCAATATCGTCCGAGATCGACATGTTTGTGTCCCATTCTTTCATGCTGAAAGGGAGTTGATCAAGTATGTCAAGGTTGTCGAACGGTGAATCATCCCACCAAGCGAAGTATTCGCCATCACCCGGTGATCGTAAGATTATGACTGTATCCGCGTCTGGGTCGATTTCATGTACAACTGGAGCCATACTCGGATGTCGTGGGTGAATTAGGTTGAGTGGTTGTGATTTGATGTTAAGCAGGAAGATCCGGTCGTATGACCCTGTAAGCCATTGTGCATGCGATTAGTGAGGTCGCCCAGTGTTTTTACACTTCTTTCGATGAAACGCAAATGCACAGACAATTGCAAGTGGTTAGTAACGGGTGAATGGAAAATGTAGTAGTGCTGGGAATCTACTGCCCACCGAGACGCTTCAACACACATCGAGGATGCATTGTCGCTTTCATCAAGGCCAATCTTGCTCTACACGTGGTCGCGATAACGCCAGGTAGAACGTGCGCTTTCGTGAGGTAGAGGTGTAGCATACCTAGGTACTGATCGCGTGAGAAAGGGTCACGGCGCGTGAGAGGCGCGAACCGCATGATGACACAGACGCCGCTCAGAGTGCTCGCTTCTGTCATCGTATCGTATTGCGCGTAGTATCGTGTAATCAGTCTCAGAAAGTAACGCGATGCTGGATTCTATGAGGCTGGTGCTGAAGGCTGCGTGGTGTTTGGAGCTCGAAGCGCGATCCAACTAAATGGGGCCTTGCCCAGATCAGCACTAGCGTGAAGCGCGGCCCCCCGGGGCCGATTTCGCCGCTGCGTGAGCAGCTCATTTGCTCCCTTCTTCCTTGACACTCCCCATGCTGTTCACATCACCGTGCACGCCATTGCTACGACGAGCTGGGCTACAGCTAGACCAGCGCCTATGGCTCCTATCCTCGTCGCCCCTCGTCCATGCGCCGCCGTGTATCGTCTATTCAGTCTTTGGCCCATCTGATACGTAAGCGCGTCGCGTTCTTTCTCCAGCTGTTCTAACCTGAGCGACATGTAGCTTTGCGAGGTTTGCAGTGTACTTGCTGAAGACAATCCTGCACTTGAGGCTTCGTAGCCGTCTTCGGTTGAAGCGGTTTGGTCAGGACTCCTGACCTCCTGCTGCCCGCGCTCGATCTCCAATTGCCGCTCGATACGTTGCGCGCTCGACATAATTGTTTTATCATCTCGTGCAAGATTCTTGTCCCATACCATCCGGATGTCGCGGAGGTTTACTTTCGTACGCTCAATGTCCTCGTCCACGGACCGCATGTTGCCAGCCATCTCGGTAATCGCATCTTCAAGCTCGTGCAACTCGTCTCTCCGGGAATTATGAGCCATCTTAGCTAATCTTCCACGCGCATCGTCTATCTTGGCTTGTAATATCTCGAAAGATTCCGTCAAATGCTCTAACAACACTTGACCGGCCCTCGTTTCATGGATGAGTCGATGACCATCTACCAACTCTCGTTGGAACGCCAGCGTTAGCCTTCGGTCTTTTCCCACAATATGCTGAATTATCTTCCCTGCATCTACCTCTACAGCTGATAGCCTGACTAGCTTACCGCCGTGTTGTATAACATCCTGGATCTTCCCGCGGAGTTCCTCGTGTCGCAATTCCGCCTTTACGAGTTCATCTGTGGTCGCTCTATCCCACATGGTAGTTGCCACAATGACTCCACAGAATGCTTCTTCCCCGCACATGCTCTTAAAGGCGTTCAGCGCCCGCACAGCAGAGCCTTGTAAACGGTTATTTGTAATGCAATGGAGGTAAATGATTCCGCTGAGTTTGATCTTTCTTTCGTAAGCGGCTGCTAACCAGTACGCCAGCTCCTGCAATGTTTCTCCATCAGATCGCCGACTGTCGTTGAAGCCAGGTGTGTCTATCAGATGAACAGTCTTTCCGAGTACGCTAGTGGTGTGTATCGATACCTGGCTTGTACCTGTTCATTGGTATCAACGATCGGTCAGGCTTCAGGGACGCCGAAGAAGCCTACTTGATGCGAGTTCATGTCCGGAAAGCTGTTCTAGAGAATTGGTACAATGCTCGATGAAGGTAGATTTGCCAGCACCAGTCATGCCCATCACTGCAATGAAAAGGTCATCGGGGCTGCCAAGCTGAGTCAGTTCTGCGTTTGGAGAACCAGGATTTACCCACTCAACCGGTTTCGAGCCTTCAAGATCCACGGATTCCATTGTGGAACGATGGGCGAATGTATCAAGTCGCAAATCAGTGTGTTCAGTTGGGTCGGGATATCATCCAGTGATCACGTCGCGATAGCTTTGTTACGCCGCAGCAGCTCTCGGTGCGGCTAAAGACAATCCTGCGGCAAGGTTGTACAGCCCACCTTCCCGCCGTATGGAAACCACCAATCAGCAACGTACACGTCAAAGCTACACCACAATGGCTGTGCCGCAGGCAATCCTCAAGTACGCCTCTGCGCCTAGGTACGGTCCGTGCGCGATTCCGCCTGCAGGCCGCATGACAGCATCAGCTAAGGTCAGCATCCCAGCTGGAGTGTGCAGCACTGTAGCCTGCCCGTCTTGGCAGCTTTGGATGCGCTTGCATCTACTGTCATCGCATTGCCTCATTGCAACGCGACCTCCTACTACGAGAACCGCATCAGTGTAATGTGCGCAGTATGAGCGCTCTCGACATCTCGCCGACCAGAAGGGGAAGTCATGATGCGCTGGAGCCGATCCGCTCACATGGAAGCTCATCCAACACATTTCCTCCTACAGCTCTTACAGTTACGCGGTTCAACCAGAATGCGCCGTCTTCTCGGTATGAGCTGAGCATCCGTCCAGTTTCGTTGTCTGATCTGTCGCTAGGGCGATTGGCATTCTCGTTATGGGCCTCACTGGCGCTGGCAAAAGCACATTCATTTCCCAAGTCACACAGAAGAGTGCAGATATCGGGCATTCGCTAGAGTCATGTATGTTCATCTTGAATGATCGGAACATAGACCTAATCATTTTAAGGTACCACTGATGTCGTATTTCAGACATTGCAGCGAAGGAACGGCCAACTAGTATATCTCATCGACACGCCAGGCTTTGACGACACTCATTTGGAATACGCAGCGGTCTTTCGAAAGATTGCTTCATTCATCTGCACCTACTGCGATGGCTATGGGCGCAGTATCCCAATCGGAGGTATGATCTATGTTCAGCGGATAACAGACATGAGAATGTCGGGATCTTCACTCAAGAGCCTCCGGATATTTGAGAAGATTTGCGGCGAGCGAAATTTTCAGGACGTTGTGATTGTTACAACGATGTGGAACTCGCTGAAGACGAAGGAAGCGCATGATGCCGCAAGGATGCGTGAAAACATGATGGGTGAAAGACCTGAGTTCTTTGGAAATATGATAAGAGGTGGAGCTAGGATGGAGCAATACCAAGGCGATACCTACAGCGGCATCCGGATTGTCGAATCATTAGCAGATAGATGGAGAAAGGTCAGTCTGCAATTGCAGCGCGAGATGCGACGAGGCGTGGCTACGAAACTCGAAGACACAACAGCAGGAAGATACATCGACGGTGAACTTGCCAATGCACGCGAGAAGTACGAGACGCAAAAGCGGGAGCTAGAGGAGTGTGCAGAGGAGGCTGAGGATGATGATGACCTAAGAAGCGAATTCGTCGAGCAAGCTGAAGACTGTATACGTCACGTCAACAGCATTATAACTGATCAAAGGAGTCTTTCCGTCACACTCGAAGACATGCGGAATGAGCAGGTAGCCGGGTGTAGCATCGGCCGGAACGACCCGCCAGAGGATATAGTGCATGGAAACAACTCCGCGCGCATTTTCGAGCTTGAGCATGAGGTTCAAGGGCTGAAAAGAGTAATAGAAGAGCAGCGTGTAGAAGGTCTCCTTGCCCAACATGGAGGTCTGGAAAGGATAGAAGCGGTTAGGCAAGAGATAGCAGAGGCCAAGGAACGAGATCAAGTTGTGCGCGAGAAAACGAAGGAAAGGCGGCCAAAGGAGGTCATTATGTGGATGCGAGATTTCTTCGCCCTAAGACCCGCTGGAGATATCATACCACCACCACGTCGAGCCGACTCCATGCCCATAGAGACAATGATCTCTAAGAAGACTGGTACAAGGGCTTGGAAGCGAAGTCGATCAAAACGTCGTCGACCAGGTATCAAGCGCACATCCTCGGATGATCATCCAAAACAGCCTCACACTACTCCGCAGTACCTCCAGGATCAACAGACCGACGAGCCTGGCTATCTTGATGAATCTGAGAGCGAGTCTGAGAGCGATATGGAGGACCCGGCGCCTCCGATGTATACGCCGCATCATCCCCATTCGTATACACCTGCGGCCCCATATGTACATGACAGTCGCTATCACGTCTCGCCTCATGATGTTTCTAGCGATCCTACTGGGATGGTGCGCGTTCCACCACCACAGCCTCAGCCTCTGATGCGAAGAATCCCACATTCCGCGGGTCCGCCGTATGGCCAGCATCTTCTCAGGGCTCCTTCACATAACAGCGGCCCACCAGGCGATTACAATTACCGTGGGTAGAGTAGACGGGTTCGATACAACTGCGATTAACTTCTCTCACATATTCATCAGTCTTGGGCAAGCAGATCTTCACTCCGTACCAAGTTTAGCCATGAGAGATGTATCGTGTAGCTATCGCTAGGTTTGCAACGACGTAGGGTCTCGATCGCCGCATCTGCATGAACTTCCAGACATACAAAATTGCTCATCTCCAGATACTATCTAGTGTGGCACAATCTATACCAGCTCAGCGCGTGGCTGCATGAGCCTTCAGTAAAACAAGCTGTGTCATGACACTTGGGCTGCATGCACTGCCCCGCGATGAGATGCGCGCAAGTCAAAACGTGGGGGCATCGCGGAACTGAGAACTATCCGGTGAACCACAAAGAACGACTGCGCGATAACCGCAATATGGGTGCCCTGCGATGGAGGGGCAGGTGCGACGTTGGTTCGTCGGCCGTTAGCCTATTAGCCGCCGTGGTGCGTTGTCACCACATTACTAACCCGGGGGCTTGCATACAAAGGCAACGCCGCACATCGAGGCGCAAGGCTGGCCCTAGCTTCCTGTGAGGCTATGCATGAACCTGTAGTTCCCATCCCAGGGTAGTTTCTTAGAAAGCGGTTGCCTTGTCGCCTGCCGGCTATGCTACAGC